GAAGAAACAAACGCTAAGTCTCGCAGGGAGGATAACTTTGACTAAGTCGGTTTTATCATCAATACCGGTGCATTCGATGAGTACAATACAACTACCAGTCAGTACACTTGAGAAGCTGGATAGTTTATCAAGAAGCTTCGTGTGGGGGAATGGACAGCACTTGGTCTCTTGGAATAAAATTTGTACACCAAAAGAAGAGGGTGGTTTGGGGATCAGAGTATCGAGAGATATGAATAAAGCACTAATAGCAAAGGTGGGATGGCGATTGCTATATGATAAGGAGAGTTTATGGGCTAAAGTTCTACGGAGTAAATATGCAGTAGGAGATATTCATGATACCACTTGGATGATAGAAGGAAGGAATGTTTCTTCTACTTGGAGAAGCGTGGCAATGGGGATAAGGGAAGTGATTGTTCCTGGTCATAGTTGGGTAATTGGCGAGGGGAGAGAGATTAAATTTTGGACCGATAGGTGGATTTCAGATCGTTCGCTTGATACAAGTGTGATTGCAGAGCTGCCAGGAGGATACGAGAATATAACAGCTCGAGACTTGTGGCTGGAAGGTGGGGGATGGGATCTAATGAGAATTGTTCCATTCGTAACAGAGGAGACACGGCTGGAGCTTGCAGCAGTAGTGGTGGACGTGGTTACTGGTGCAAAGGATCGACTAGCATGGGGACAAACCTCAAACGGGCAATTTACAGTGAAATCTGCGTACAAACTACTTACACGAGATGAGAATCCAAGGCCAAATATGGGAAGCTTTTTTCGAAGGGTGTGGCGTGTGGAGGCTCCTGAGAGAGTTAAAATGTTCCTTTGGTTAGTTGGAAATCAGGCAATTATGACAAATGCAGAGAGACATAGACGACATCTTAGCGGGACTGGTTTGTGTCAGGTCTGCAAAGGAGGAATGGAAACGATCCTACATGTACTCAGAGATTGTCCAGCTATGACAGGAATATGGAACAAATTTGTTCCAGCTATGAAGAAACAAGCCTTCTTCTCGATGTCTTTATTCGAATGGTTGTATAGAAACTTATGTGATAATGAAGCAGGGTGTGGAAGTCCTTGGGCTACGTTGTTCGCCTTATCGGTTTGGTGGGGGTGGAAGTGGAGATGTGGTAATGTATTTGGAGATACTAGACTTTGGAGAGATCGTGTGAAGTTCTTAAGAGACTTGGCCAAAGAAGTGATATTAGCAAAGGAGGTTGAGAAGGGGGCTACAAGTATTGGGAGTAGCGTCGAGATAATGGTAGGATGGACACCTCCTCCGTTGGGATGGATGAAGCTTAATACAGATGGAGCATCGCATGGGAACCCAGGGCCGGCTTCGGCAGGAGGTGTAATACGTAATGGTGATGGTGAGTGGTATGGTGGTTACGTTCTCAATATTGGGAGATGCTCTGCTCCAAGTATTGGGAGTAGCGTCGAGATAATGGTAGGATGGACACCTCCTCCGTTGGGATGGATGAAGCTTAATACAGATGGAGCATCGCATGGGAACCCAGGGCCGGCTTCGGCAGGAGGTGTAATACATAATGATGATGGTGAGTGGTATGGTGGTTACGTTCTCACTATTGGGAGATGCTCTGCTCCATTGGCGGAACTCTGAGGAGTCTACTATGGATTGGTAATTTCTTGGGAAAAAAGTATAAGCAGGTTGGAGTTGGAAGTGGATTCTAAAATGGTGGTGGAGTTTCTGACAACAGGGATTGGTGATGCTCATCCGCTGTCTTTCCTGGTGCGTCTGTGCCACGGCTTATTATCGAGGGACTGGTTGGTCCGGATAGTTCATGTTTACAAGGAAGCAAATCACTTAGCTGATGATTTGGCTAACCTGGCTTTTTCTTTACTGTTTGGTTTTCATAGACTTGACGATGCACCTTTAGAGGTCGCTACTAGATTGAGAGAGGATGTTGATGGACCATTACGGCCACGACATACTCGTTTGTAGTTTGATTCTTGTTCTTTAATAAATATTGGGAGGCTTCTTCTCCCAAATTCCTACCAAAAAAGTGTTATTCTTTTAATAGCAACGATACTTTGTGTATTTCTTGTGGTTTAAAGCAATGGGATTGGATCAAGATACATTTAGCGTTTTGGGTTAGGGGTGGAAGAACAATGCCATATTCATCTGTGAAAGTGATATGATCACAAATTTTGGGGAACTGATTTTATCTCAAAACATTCTTTAAATTAATACAAAACCTATTTATATAAATTTTTAATCATAAAAAATTTCTGCACTTTTCAAACGCGGATCAAAATCTAGTATAGTTTTAATTTGCAGGTATTTATATTGGCCAGGACCTGGAGATACATTTGGAGTAGATAGAAAAGAGAAATACTTAACCTATAGATTCACCTAACCAATGATATTTTGTCAACTCATATTCAATTTTTGAAAGCAAAAAAGGTTAAAGATTAAAAATATAATTATCTACAGAAAAAAAAAAAAAAAAAACGATGAACTTAACGTCGTAGCTTCTTCATCTATTACAGAAAAGAGACAATGAAAAATTGAGTTTTAACTTTTAGGGTTTCTTCAGCACAATATGGCTAACCATGAGAAGATGAAAGACGAGGAAAAGGTGGGATTTCGATTTGATGTTTTGACTTGTTTCCTCCCTCGTTGCTCATACTAATTTTTGTGTTTCTCAAAAATCATCTATTTTAGAATTTTTTTTTATTTGTTTTGGCTTCTCTTTTATTCAAGCAATAATTGTTATCTACACTAGAGAGACACTACTTTCTCTAAAGGCTTAGTGAATTCAACAAGATGGGATATGGTCAAATTTATTTTGTCACGTTGATTGCTATGATGAATTAGGTCTAAGCAAAGATTATTATGCTGTGAGCATGCGATGTTAGGAAGATGCTGGACATTGACTTCTGACACGTTGTTATATTATTACGTTCTGGTGGTGTGGTATGATCATATACACAACGTGACCTTGAGATGAAGAAACATAACAGTCTAAACTAAATTCTGAGTCTGGAGATGGGGAAACATGAGTCTTAACTGAATCTCGGGTTTAAGATGGAGAAACATTGAGCCCTTGGTACTCACATTTTTTTTGTTCCAGACGTATAATCAAATCACTACGGAGCAGCATTGAGACATATAAGGTATCAACAATGGTGGCAATGAACTTTAGAGTTTTGTGGAAGCTAGCAAACAAGAAGTTAAGACCTGAAAAAAAATAATGATGTACTACTTGTTGCGACACCAAGCTAGTTTAGCAGTTGCAAGCTCCCTGGAGGCATACTACTTGTTGCGACACCAAGCTCCATGGAAGATCTCTTAACTTCTTTTGGAACACTGTTAGCAGATTAGATACAGACAAATAAGTTCTTAAAGGCAAGAATCTAGTTTAGCAGTTGCAAGTGTTTAAACTGTTACGCCTTTTTTTCTTAGACATCATACCCCATTTCTTGATTTGTGAGGCAGAAGTCACAGTCATATAATTTAATTAAGTATATACATTAATGGTTGTGGACCTTGTGGTTCCCCTTTTTAAGTGCCTGGAACAAAGGGAAGGAAAATAAAGTTGATTCAAGATGTATGACTCTGCCGGACGTATATCTCTGCCAGACGTAGCTCTTCCTCACTGCCAAACTCAGATGGTCACCAGCGCCTCATCTTCTCTCGAGAAACAGGTTTTCAACAAATTAACTCTCAACAACCATAGAACTATTGATAAATACTCAAATTGATTTATGACTTTAATTCAGTTTCAGGCTCAAGACTGAACCGTAGCCATCTGATTTTAAGAAGACACACATTCCCCACAAGTCAATGTAGATGACACAATCTAGGATTGTATTGTGGCTGTCAAGCTTTGTTTTCGTTGGATGGTCTAAGGTGAATTAGAAAGCAAAGAAGACTTGAAAATCACAAACAGAGACTCTTTTCTTTTATGTACCCGATGAAGAAGAAGACGTGTTGAGTTCGACGGCGTTATAAGCGTTAAGTTTGTCGTTTTCCTTTTTTATTTCTGTAGATAATTATATTTTTTATTGAAAAAAAGACCAAAATAGCACCAATTCAAGTTTTTATCCCCAAACTAGCACCCAAGGCTCAAAGTCACAAAAATAGGTTTTATTAGAGGTATGGTTTACCCTTATACCCCTTTCTTTCTCTAATTATATTAAATAAAAAGATATTAAAAATCCTGACGTCGTCTCCAACCTCAACATGGTCTCTCATCCCCGATATCATCTTCTCCGGCGTGACTCAAATCCATCGATATTTTCGTCGTCGTTGTTTATCTCTTTCACCACTATCTCTGCCGTCATTATCTACGTTTGTCTTTCTCAACTCCAATCGCTACTCCGCTGTCTCAATTATACTTTTGATTTCATCGTATTAAAGGTATCTCGTATCAATGTTACTTTTTTAATTCTCAATTTGATGAAAGAGTTATGAAATTGATTCATTTTGATAGATTCTTGTGATTTTGGGTTCAATAATAGTGACATAGGCAGAGAAATCAGCACTTATGCTCAGATTGCTCAGTGACAGGGCGAACGATTTGACAAATATTGAGATACTAAAGGTGTGTAAAGCTTGATTCTTTGTAGTGTTATTTCCATGTTGTGTCGCAACTCAGTTTTTGCATATTTTACTTGTGTTGGCCCTGTGTTTCCTGGCCGAGTAAGTTATTAGGGGGTAGTATTATGTGGCTGCCACCTAAGTTATTGTCTATCTTTGCGTTCATGCCTTAACACATTGTGAAATATGCATCACTCATTTAATCATGTCTCTGTGCATCAGATATCCTAGTGAGAGTGATGTATATCCTCTTTTGAGGGACTCTGAAAAGTGATCAAGGACGTTCTTGAAGACAAGGTTGAGAAGGTTATTGTCTCTGACCGTGTTGTGGACTCACCTTGCTGTCTGGTAACAGGTGAATATGGCTGGATCGCAAACATGGAGAGGATCATGAAAGCGCAGGCTTTGAGAGACAGCAGCATGGCTTTGATCTTCCAAGAAAACTATGGAGATCAACCCAGAGAATTCGATCATGGACGAGCTGAGGAAGAGAGCTGAAGCTGACAAGAATGACAAGTCGGTGAAAGATCTTGTTCTTCTCCTGTTTGAGACTGCTCTTCTCACTTCAGGTTTCAGCCTAGACGAGCCCAATACTTTCGGGAGCAGAATCCACAGGATGTTGAAGCTGGGATTGAGCATTGATGAGGATGATGCAGTGGAAGCTGATGCAGAGATGCCTCCGCTTGAAGATGATGCTGATGCTGAAGGTAGCAAGATGGAGGAAGTCGACTAAAAGGTTCCAATGACTGCAGCTAATGGTTTTCTCTACTTATCTTTTCTATGGCTGAAACTATTATTTTGGGTTTTTCTTTCTCAAGTACTATTAGCGGTGTAGATTTTTTTCTTCGAACTATAATTCGTTTCTACCAAATCCAGACAGTTTTTGCATGATTGATTATCCTATACTGACCTTAAATTATATTTCGTATCATGATCTTTAAGGTATCCTGTTCAAGTACCTGGAGTGAAGAGAAGGAGAACATCTAGTTGCTTTGTTCTGTCTTTTTGCGTTAAGAAGCATTACTCTTTTCCTTTTAGTGATCAGACAAGTTAGAGATTTTCAATGTTTGAGCTTTCAGTCTTATTAAACTTCTAGGAACAAGTTATTTTTAAAGTTTAAACTCATTGATTCTCACTAAATTATCTTTCCATTTTTAGGTCAATAAGATCAAACTTAGAAAAATTAACAAAAACAAAAAAAAAATGATGCAAACAACAAAGAATGATTAATAATTTTCTTATGTGTCTCACTTGCTTTTTAGGTATAGAGAACCAAAATCGTGTAAAGAATGTTAGACAGTCCTTGTTCGTGATGGCTATCCTTAATTGGAACTTAATCTTCCAAAAAAAACATAATAAAAATATATAAGAAAATTCATTGGCTATAAAAATCACCAAATAGAGTTCATTGTCTACAAAAAAGAAAACACATATCAAACAGAGAACATTAAAATATGATAGTTTGAAGCATTTTCAATAATTCAATCAAGAAAGTGTTAAATGTGGTATCATTATTGTAATTGTTAGGATAGCTTTTGGTACATTCAGGATGAGTTTCCAAAAATAAATGACTATGTTTTTTTTGCATAAGTCTGTTTTTGAAACTTATCAAAAATATAGATATCATATTCTTAGTTTTTTTTATATCATTTCATTTCTACTTTAAACTTTGATAAAAATACACTATTATATTATTTTGGAAGTCCATCCAAAAAATTGAAATGTTTTCCAACGTCTGTTAAAAATTTTCTATTATTTTTTGTTTTGTGAAATCATCCAAAATAAGTAAAATGTTTTCTTATTACATTCAGAAATCAGAAAATTTTTCTATAAAGAACTTAAATCTCCAACACCCTTGGCCTAGTGGTCGCACACTGTGATGCCCTTTTGTAGAGTTCTCAGGTTTGACTAGTGGGAGATGTAAATTGTTCCTTATCTTTTTTTTTTTCAAAAGTTTAAATTTGTTAACATCGAATTTTTCGAAAAGTTTTCCTGAAACTACATAAACTCTTCCTGAAATTTTAAAAACACTACAAAGCTTCACAAGCACAAGCAATTGTCTAAAAATGTCATAAGCAAATTCAAGAGGCTACCAAAGATATCAACAGCCGTAATCCAAACAAGAGAACACAAAGCAAAAAAAAAATTCAAATTTGTTATCATCGAATATCTGGAAAGCTTTCCTGAAACTACACAAATCCTTCCTGAAATTTTAAAAACACTACACAGCTTCACAAACACAAGCACAAGCACAAGCACAAGCACAAGCACAAGCACAAGCAAGAGACTAACAATGTCATAAGCAAATTCACGAACCTACCAAAGATATAACATGCCTAAGCCAAACAAGAAGACACCAAGCAAAAAAAAATTCAAATTTGTTAACATCGGATTTTCTGGAAAGCTTTCCTGAAACTACACAAATCCTTCCTAAATTTTAAAAACACTACACAGTCTCACAAGCGCAAGAACAAGCACAAGCACAAGCACAAGCAAGAGATTAATAATGCTATAAGCAAATTCACGAGCCTACCAAGGATATCAACATGTCTAAGCCAAACAAGAAGACACCAAGCAAAAAAAACAAATTTAATTAAATATTATTTTTTTAGAAAATCCTTCCTAAATATTTTACTTGTTATGCTAACATTTTATTTTTAATTAAATATTACATTTTTAGGAAGCTCTTCCTAAATATTTTTACATACTATCATAAATATGATATATATGTAAGCTTGTTAATACATGCTATCCTAACATTTTTCCTTATTGTCAACACATAATTAACTTTAACTCCTTCTTGTGTATCTGTTAGGAAGACATTTCACGTTTTCTGGATGGGTTTCCAGAAATAAAAAAGTGTTCCACTTTGTATGAAAGTTTAAATTTAAAAAAATGAAATGAGGTTAAAGACTAAGGATTTGGATTTAATGAGATAAGTTGTTTAAATTTTGTGATGCTTATAGAAAAAATAATAATTTGATTATAGGTTCTATGGTCTCTGAAAAAAAAGTTTGTTTTTTTGGTACTATTTTTCTGAAATTTTTTTCATCTCTGCAGCAGAGCTTCGACATGTGATGAGCAGCCTTGGAGAGAAGCTAACCCATGAGGAAGTTAATGAGATGATCCGAGAAGCTAATGTTGATGCGATGGCCAGATCAACTATGATGAATTCGTTAAAGTCATGATGGCTAAGTGATAAAAGAGATTGAATCGAATAAAAATGAAGCAGAAGCACATTGAAGCAGAAGGAAACCTGGCTGATGTGAGGTCAAAGTCCATGATTGGTTCAAGCTTGGATGGAAATGGATGGTTGATTAATCTAATATTACCAACTTCTTTTGATATGTTTTAAGAACCCACATCATGTTTTATTATTAGTTTTTATTTTAAATGGAACAGTATTTTTTTTTATAGTGTTTCTCTCTCGTATTGTGTTTCAGTCAAAAAAAAGTTAAGAATTTAGAAGATTACTGGTCTTGTATCTAGGTAATCTTGTTTTCAAATTCGTTTCTGGAAAGCCATCCTGAATGTGACAACTGATATTCTATTCTGGTTACCCATCCAGAAAATCTAAAGTTCTTTCCAATGTTTTTAGTAAAAATTTATGGTTAACTATATTTATGCTTTATATTATACCATATGATTCTCCTCAGCCTAGCGGCTAAACCACCTATCTTATGAAACTGAATTACTTGCCTCGACCCGCGTTCAATTCCAAAGGTATTCGGACTCGTACTTTATTTTTTAATTGAATAAAAAGTAAATGGATTATATTACTTCCCTTACATCACTGAACAATATAAATCCAGTTGGCTTAGTGGCCACACCTTATTCCCCATGCCTAGACATCTCAGGTTAGAGTCATGATAGTTGTGTATATTTGTTCTTTTTTTCTTCAAAATTCCAAATCACAATTTGAGATTTTCCAAGTATGCAGTAGATATCAATCTTTAGTTTTGATCTCATTTCATTTTTTTTTTAGATTAAGAAAAAAACACACAAATATTCAACTATTCTGGAAACCCATCCAGAAATTCTAAAGTTACTTCCAACGTTTAAAATACTCATTTATATTTCTGATAAACCATCCTGAGAATGCCACATGTTATCCTAGACATCCTCAAATTTCTTCAATAACAATCTAAATGATAAAAACGTAGTAGTGATCATTCATTACAAACTTCTTTTTGTCCAAGTAACATCAAAGTTCAAAAACATAGTATAAAACATAACGAGTGTGACATTTTCACTTCCTGCTACCTTCCTGGAAATCTTTATCCATAAACTTGTCGAAGACCTCACAACATAGCTTGCTTCGTAGGTCCATCGCAGTATCATCATTTATATTGACCATGCTCTTCAATCCCAATGACCTGCATTCCAGCATCTTGACAAAAAAATATACCACCATTGAATGGAAATTATATCTTTGGAAGCCCTTCTGCATTCTTAACTTAAAATGGATCGATATCTTTGAATTTCAAACTATTTTTGGAAGGATTTCCTGAAACTATATAAATGCTTCCTAAAATTTTTATAAACACGACAATTTCACAAGCACGAGCAACAAGAGACTCATAAGCAAATTCAAGAGCCTATCAAAGATATCAACATTCCTAAGTAAAACAAGACACCAAACAAAAAAAATATTCTGGAAGGCTTTCCTGAAACTACACAAATGCTTCCTGAAACTTTTATAAACACTAGACAGTTTCACAAACACGAGCAATTGTATAGAAATTTCATAAGAAAAATCCAACAGGCTACCAAAGACATCAACAGGCGTAGTCCAAACAAGAAGACACAAAGCAACAAAAAAAATTCAATTTTTTTATCATCGAATATCTGGAAAGCTTTCCTGAAACTACACAAATCCTTCTTGAAATTGTAAAAATACTACACAGTTTCACAAGCACAAGCACAAGCACAAGCACAAGCAAGAGATTAACAATATCATAAGAAAATTCTCGAGCCTACCAAAGATATAACATGCCTAAGCCAAACAAGAAGACAACAGGGAAAAAAAATTAAAATTTGTCAACATAGAATTTTCTGGAAAGCATTCCTAAAACTACATAAACTCATTTTATTTTTCTGGAAACCCATCCTGAAAGTACCAAAAGCTATCCTATATAACATAGGTGTTTTATAATGATACCACATTTAACACTTTCTTGATAGAATTATTGAAAATGTTTCAAACTATCCTATTTTAATGATTTCTGTTTGATATGTGTTCTCTATTTTGTAGACAATGAACTATATTTTGTGATTTCTATAGCCAGTGGATTTTCTTATAGATCCTTTTGATTATGTTTTTTTTGGAAGATTAAGCTCCAAATTAGGATAGCCATCCTGAACAAGGACTGTCTAACATTCCTTACACACTTTTGATGCTCTTCGAAAACAGACGTATGCAAAAAAAAACACTCATTTTATTTTTCTGGAAACCCATCCTGAAAGTGCCAAAAGCTATCCTATATAACATAGGTGTCTTATAATGATACAAGAAAACACACTCATTTTATTTTTCTGGAAACCCATCCTGAAAGTATCAAAAGCTATCCTATATAACATAGGTGTTTTATAATGATATAAGAAAACACACTTATTTTATTTTTCTCGAAACCCATCCTGAAAGTGCCAGAAGCTATCCTATATAATAACATAGGTGTTTTATAATGATACCACATTTAACACATCCTTGATATAATTATTGAAAATGCTTCA